CTCCTCCTCCTCCTCCTCCTCCTCTTCCTCCTCTCCTCCTCCTCCTCCCTCCTCCTCCTCCCCTCCTCCTCTCCTCTCCTCCTCCTCCTCCTCCTCCTCCTCCGCCTCCCCATCCTCCTCCTCCCTCCTCCTCCTCCTCCTCCTCGTCCTCCTTCTCCTCCTCATCCTCCTCCTGTTCATGTTCCTGCTTTCTGTTCCTCCTCCTCCTCCTCCTCCTCCTCCTCCTCCTCCTCCTCCTCCTAATCCTCCTCCTCCTCCGTCCTCCTCCTCGCTCTTCCTCGTTAGGGAACGAAGAGGCTTGCCTGGCCACGGCGCGCTTGGGCCACGAACAGGTTCCCCGAATTCGATCTGAGGAACGGCCTGGAAACCAGAGCCCTCCTGAGCCCAAAGCGGTCCTTCATTTCGGCGTCTTGGCTGTACCAAATATGTCTGGAACCCCCAGGAGAATTCCGGACGAGGTTCGCACGAAGGGGGGCCCTGCGCGAAGCATCCTAAAGATTCTCGGAGCCCCCTTTCGGCGCCATCTTGGGACATCTTCGAGCTTCCCGGGGGGCCATCTCGGGCAGTAGGGACCGCCGATGTCTGCCCTCGGGGCCGTCAGGAGCCACATGGGACCGTCCTGGAGCCCGTCTAGGGCCGTCGGGGGCCGTACAGGCCTCCGGCACAGGCAAAAGGCAGTCTGGCCACTGGGACACCGACGCGAACGTACTGATCTCGCTATGGGTATGTGGATGACGTTGGGCTCCAGCTTCGCCTCCGACATCTCGCTGAGCAGCGCCAGGGCCCGCTGCCACTGCTCGCTAGTCTCGCAGGCGCTGATCGCAGCGCTGTAACTGACTACTGTATGATCGTGGGGCAAGCCCGAGCGACTTACTCATCTAACATGGCTCTGCAAAGTGAGTGCAAATTGATTCGTGTGGAGGATGGTGCTGTTTTTGCTGGGTCGTGCCCGGCTGGTTGAAGATGCCCTGGGGCCCTGGAGATCCCAAATGCATGCCCGCGGCCGTCGAACACGCGGTGATGCTTGCTGCTGGTGCCTGCTGTTGGTGTTACCGACTACCACTGCTGCGAGATCATTAGTTACGAGTACCGCGGTCTTCTGCTGGCTGCTTGCAAATGTTCGCTGCTCCTGCGGGCTGCTGCTGGCTCTGCTGCTGGGACGTATCGGGGCAGTCAGGAGCCTCTTGGGTTATCCTAGGCTGTCTTGGGGCATCGTGGGACCCTCTTGGAAACGTTTGGGCCACATGATCCGCCCTGGAGCGATCTGTTAGCGGTCTCGGATTTCGGTAGTGCCAGCGCAACGGGAAGGTGTTGGGGGTTCTGTGGGGTCGCTCTTTTAGAAATTCTGGGCCGGTGATCAAAGTCATAAGGGCCTTACGGAAACGGCTTTGGAATGCGCTATCGACCCATCTGGGGGCGCTCTTGGACCGGTTTCGGAAAGTCTTAGCAGAACCTTAGGGAAACCCTGCGACCCTCTTAGGAACCCCTCGGGGCTGTCTCGGGGGCCGTCTTGGAGGTCTTGCAGGCTTGCTGGGGCGTTCCGAGGCCACGTGAAGATTCTTGACGCAGCATTGAGGCGAGTCCCCGACAAAACAATTTATCCTGGCGAAGGACCCAACAATATGCAGTTGTGGGTACCGCAACTGCTAATATCTTCTTCGGTGGAGCTACCTATGGCGCCACGAAGCGCTGCACTGGGTGGGGGAAACGCATGCGGGCGGTAGCGCTGGGGCCGTCGGTGGAACTGCCTATGGCCACAAAGCGCTGTACTGGGTCGGTGAGAATGCCAAATTGCGTGTGTGGGACGCATGCGGGCGGTCCCATTGGGGGCTTCGATGGAGCTCCCTATGGGGCCACGAAACGCTGTACTGGGTGAGTCAAAATGCCACATTAGGTTTCTGGGGCGCATGCGGACGGTCCCACTGGGGGCTTCGGTGGAGCTCCCTATGGGGCCTCGAAACGCTGTACTGTGCGGGTGAAAATGCCAAATTGAACTTCCAGGACGCATGCGGACGGTCCCACTGGGGGCTTCGGTGGAGCTCCCTATGGGGCCACGAAGCGCTGCACTGGGCGAGTTAAAATGCCAAATTTGGTGTCCAGGGCGCGTGCGGGCGGTCCCATTGGGGGCTTCGGTGGAGCTCCCTATGGCCACGAAACTTTGTACTGGGTGGGTGAAATTTCCAAATGAAGCTTCCGGGACGCATGCGGACGGTCCCACTGGGGCTTCGGTGGAGCTCCCTATGGGGCCTCGAAACGCTGTACTGAGTGAGCGAAAATGCCAAACTGAGCTTCCGGGACGCATGCGGACGATCCCACTGGGGGCTTCGGTGGAGATCCCTATGAGGCCACGAAACGTTGCAATTTCTGGTGAAAAATGCCAAATTAGATTTCCGGGACGCATGCGGACGGTCCCACTGGGGGCTCCGGTGGAGCTCCCTATGGGGCCACGAAACTCTGTACTGGGTGAATGAAAATTCCAAACTAGGCTTCCGGGACACATGCGGACGGTCCCACTGGGAGCTTCGGTGGAGCTCCCTATGGGGCCACGAAGCGCTGTACTGGGTGAGTGAAAATACCAAGTTGAGCTTCCGCGACGCATGCGGACGGTCCCACTGGGGGCTTCGGTGGAGCTCCCTATGGAGCCACGAAACGCTGTACTGGGTGGGTGAAAATGCCAAATTAGGTTTCCGGGGCGCGTGCGGACGGTCCCACTGGGGGCTTCGGTGGAGCTCCCTATGAGGGAGGTGCCGAAAGGGGGGGTGGAACCGCATGCGAACGCAATGCGAACGCAGCCACTGGGACCTTCGGTGGAGCTCCCGATGGGGCCACGAAACGTATGAGGGATGTGCCGAAATGGGGGGTGGAACCGCATGCGAACGCAATGAGAGCGTTGGCACTGGGACCTTCGGTGGAGCTCCCTAAGGGGCCACGAAACGTTTGAGGGGTGTGCCAAAATATCGGGTGGAACCGCATGCGAATGCAATGCGAGCGCAGCCACCGGGACCTTCGGTGGAGCTCCCTATGAGGCCACGAAACGTATGAGGGGTGTACCGAAATGGATGATGATGACGATGACGATGACGATGACGATGACGATGACGATGATGATGATGATGATGATGATGATGATGATGATGATGATGATGATGATGATGATGATGATGATGATGATGATGATGATGATGATGATGATGATGATGATGATGATGATGATGATGATGATGATGATGATGATGATGATGATGATGATGATGATGATGATGATGATGATGATGATGATGATGATGATGATGATGATGATGATGATGATGATGATGATGATGATGATGATGATGATGATGATGGGAGGAGGGAGGAGGGGGGGGAGGACGGAGGAGTGAACGCGGCGAGCTGTCTCTTCAAAACGAGGGCCCAACACCACAGGATGGCCAGGAAAAAAACACCCTCACGGTACGCCTCGGCTGTTACCGCCCCGCGCCTCGTGCGGCCTCTGGGGGGGCCCTGGGCACGTTCTGAGCATCTGGTCGAATCCAGAAGCTCTAAATCCAAAAATGCCGACGTCTGACTTTTAGCTTCTGCGGACCTTCCGCTGGCGGAAAAGCCAACGGAACCGACCACGGTCTGCTTCGATCGGCGTCCGCCACCCTTTCGTCACACTCCCGCCGAGGAAGAGAAGTCAACCCTGTCGATCCCTCGAAGGCGAGGCCGGTTTGCTGAACGCCCTGTCTGGGGCCGACTCAGGGCGACCCTCTTGGACCTCGGAGCGCCGAGATCGGACAGTCCCCTGCCGAAACATCCAGAGTCGTCGGCTCGCCCTCGCGCGCGCACTGCATCCGGCACCGTAGAAGCAGAGATGACGTTGGGCTCAACTTGTGCCTCACACATTTCGCTCAGCAGCAACAGAGCCCACTGCCACTGCTCGCCCTTCTGGCACGCGCTGATCCCAGCGCTGTAGCTGACTAGAGCTGGCCCGTGGACTGCGTCCACTTGCGGGGTGTGAAGCGTGGGTGCCTTTGGGGGTGTCATGACAACGTGGGGCTCGACCCTCGCATTCGGCGCATGCATCTGCGTGGTGTTGCTTGCTGCCGCTGTTGCATGTTATTGATACTGATTGCCGCTGCTGCGTGTCGTTCTTGCTTGTGACTGAAGGGTGCTGCTGATGACTCGTGCTGCTGATCACCACCTGCTGCTGCTGCTGTCTGCTGTTTGCTGCTTGCTGTGTGGTGTGGCTGCTGTTTGCTGTTGCTGCTGTCTGCTGTTGCTGTTGCTGCGCGCTGACGCTATTGCTGCCTGCTTTGTGTGTTTCGTGCTGCTGCCTTCGGGACATGGGGGCCTTCTGGGCCGCCCCGGGATGATCTTGAGCCCTGAGCCACTCGAGGCCGTCTTAGGGCCGAGGCTGGAAATTTAGGAGCAACAGTACTCCAGATTTCGTAATAAAGGGGAGGGGGTCTGGACCCTCCAAGACAAGCCATTTCAGACCCCCCCCCCGTGGGAGAACCCTCCAAAACATCGTCCCCAGACCCCCCCAGGCCCCCAGGCCCTCCAAGATAGCCTGGAAGAGACCCCCCCCGAAATGAGACCCCCCTCCCTTTATTACGAAATCTGGAGTAGGCCTTCTTTTCTAACGATGTTCCATGGTGGCTGTGGCCGCACCAGGAGGCCGGAGGATGCGCGCGGGCTGCGTGGGCTGGGGAGAAAAATCGAAGGCACTGCGGAGCATGCCCCCAATGGCCGGCCAGCACGGAGCACTCTCAGAAAGAACTCCCGAACGAGTCGCACATTCCGAAGCCTTTTGCAAAGGAGGAAAACAAGAGGCGCATGGGAGTCTAATTTTCCTGGGTGGCCGGCGCGGTCCCAGAGCTCTCTGGGAGACCTTCCTTCGGAAGCCTCTTGGAAGCGATTTTGGTGGTGTCTTGCGGCCTCTCCAGGGTCTCTTCGGACCTGATTTGGGCGTATTGGGGGGCCTTCTGGGGGCGTCAGGGGGGCATCTTTGGGGCCACCCGTTGCGGGGAACATCCTGGAGCGGAAGGCGCGAACTGTCAGTTCGAGTTCCCCCGCGTGGGGCCTCTTGGAGCCGTCTTGGGCCGTCTTGGGGGCCGTTTTGGCCGTCTTGGGGCCCTCTTGGGCTGTGTGGGAGCTCCCTTAGGGGGCTCCTGGGCCATCTTGGCGCGATCTTGGGGGCCCCGGGGTTGGCTTGGAGCGTGGGGGCACCGAAAAGGCGAGAACGTTGAAACCTTTCATAAGTCATGGGTAACAAATGCTTTTGGCCTCTCGGGGCCCCATTTGGAGGCTTTCTGGGCCATCGTCCAGCACTGTTAGGCTTTCTGGGGCGTCTGGGAGGCCTCTTGGAGGCCAGCTCGCGATTTCTGGGGTCATCCTGGAGCGGAGGGCGCGACATGTTACTTCGAGTTCCCCCTCGTGGGGCACTTTTGGGTCCGTCTTGGGCCGTCCTGGAGTCCTCTTGGGCCGTCTTGGGGCCCTCTTGCCTTGGAGCTCTTCGCGGGGCCTTTTGGGTCATCTCGGCGCGATCATGGGTGCCCTAGGGCCGATTCGGGGCGTCGAGATTCCGAAAAGGCGAGAACGCTGAAACCCTTCAAAACCATGGGGAACAAATGATGCTGATATCTCGGGGCGCTTCTTGGGGGCCTCGTCGATACTCTTGGAGCGCTCTGAAAGCCGTTTGGGAGGTATTGCGGCCGTCTTGGGTCTTCTTGGGCCCTCTCAGGCCGTCTGGACGCCATCTTGGGCCAGCTTGAGGCCGTC